TAAGGGCTCCAAGAAATCGATGTGGATGAACTGAGAGCTTCAGAATAAGCTAAGGGAGAAAAGGGAAATGTTCAGGAAATGGAGGGAAGGTCAGACCTCTAAAGAGGAGTATATGAGTGTTACTAGGTACTACAGATCAGCCATCAGAGAAACCAAAGCTCAGTATGAGTTGGGTCTGGCCAGTGGGGCTTGCTGCAATAAGAAAATTTTCTACAGATATGTGAGAAGCAAACACAAGGTAAACAACATAATTGGACTGCTTTTGGAAGTAGAAGGAGAAACTATGGTGGAGAATAGAGAAAAATCAGACAGGCTTAATTACTTTTTTTCCTCTGTTTTCTCCCAGAAGAACTCGAGCCCATCTAGAGATGGTATAGGACATAACACAACACCTGAGTGTCCAGTTGACATTGACAGGGAGGTTGTGGAGGGGCACCTGACTGCACTGGACGAATACAAATCCCCTGGCCCAGATGGTGTGCACCCAAGAATGCTCAAAGAACTGTCTAATGAACTTGCAGAGCCTCTGTCCATCATCTTCAAGGCCTTCTGGAGAACTGGGGATGTGCCACAAGATTGGAGAAGAGCAAATGTTATCCCAATCTTTAAGAAAGGGAAGAAGGCTGACCCGGGAAACTACAGGCTGGTCAGTCTGACTTCTGTTGCTGGGAAGATATTAGAGCAGATTTTAAAGGGATCGATCTGTAAGCATCTGAAGAAAAACTTAGTGATCTGGGGAAGTCAGCGTGGTTTTGTCCCCAACAGATCTTGTCAGACCAACCTGGTTTCCTTCTTTGATCGTGTGATGAGCTTACTGGATCGTGGGAACGCTGTTGATATGATTTACCTGGATTTCAGTAAAGCTTTTGATAAGGTTCCCCATGACATTCTGATGGGCAAACTGAAAGATTGTGGACTTGACTATAGGACAGTTCAGTGGATAGGGAACTGGTTAGAGGACCACACCCAAAGAGTGGTGGTCAATGGCATTTCATCAGACTGGAGGGAGGTGTCCAGTGGGTGCTGCAGGGCTCAATTTTGGGCCTGGTATTTTTCAATATTTTAATCAATGATCTAGATGGAGGGGTAATTGTAAGGGGTGATATAAGCTCCCAAATGATTTTTTATTGATTATTGCTGCTTAAATGAGACCAATGAGAAGCTTAAGTTCTTTGGGAATCTCCTGGGAGCGCTGACACCTTACTTTAGAACACAAGCTTGACCAATTAATGTAAATCATTTTCTTTGACATGTTTTCAGCTGTTATTTTAAAAGGAGTGCTTTGTGATGTGCAGCCAATTTTGAAGACCTGTCGAGAATTCCTAAATTTATGGTTAGGAGAACCTCAATGGCATTTCATCAGACTGGAGGGAGGTGTCCAGTGGGTGCTGCAGGGCTCAATTTTGGGCCTGGTATTTTTCAATATTTTAATCAATGATCTAGATGGAGGGGTAATTGTAAGGGGTGATATAAGCTCCCAAATGATTTTTTATTGATTATTGCTGCTTAAATGAGACCAATGAGAAGCTTAAGTTCTTTGGGAATCTCCTGGGAGCGCTGACACCTTACTTTAGAACACAAGCTTGACCAATTAATGTAAATAATTTTCTTTGACATGTTTTCAGCTGTTATTTTAAAAGGAGTGCTTTGTGATGTGCAGCCAATTTTGAAGACCTGTCGAGAATTCCTAAATTTATGGTTAGGAGAACCGCTATGAGCCCTTTGAACTGCAGGTGTATTTCTCCTGGGAGTCTCTGTTAGTTTCCCAAGTCAGACTGACCTGGGAATTAAGCCAGCTAAGTTAAAAGTTTAAAACAGCTTTTCTGCTTTGTGAAAGCAACTCTTGATGTAGTTAAATGAGAGAAATCCAGATCATGTTTGTATATTATCAAATGCTGTAAGAAATATCTCTCTCTAGATGTGTATTGTATTATTCTAAAGAAGGGATTACTCTGTTTGCATTTTTAACTAAGTAGTGCTAATTGGGAAAGCTTGTACTGTCAATTGTTCTCTCTCTTACTTCAAAGAGAAGAGTCATACCTAAGTCAAGAGGACAGTTATTATGTATTGTAACAAAAGAAATCCCTGTGTGTGTGTGTGTCTTAAGATTTCAAGTTATAATGTATAAGATGTTTGCAAAAAGCTACAGCTGAACAATTCTATATTTTGTGTGTTAGCTTAAGGTAACCAGACTGTTTGTCTAATAAAAGATCATACAGAAAAGTGTATGGGCGAACAAGTTTGGGAAAAATAAGATAATTATTCAAGTTTTTGAGGCTTAGGGAGTGATCTGAATACTAAAGTTCAGCCAAAATAAGGTAATTAATTCACACTATACTGTGCTTTTAACTATTTAAGGAGTATTATGTCACAAAGACAAATCATGTACATCTGTCAATTAAAAGAAGCACAGGTGCACATTAGATCATAGTTTTTGGCACTGACTAGGAGGGTCAATTATATGAATTGTGAAATAGTGTCTCCTACAGGCCGAACCAAGCTATGTATTTTACAAATTATACCCTTAAGAACATAAGAACATAAGATATGCCAATGTTGGATCAGGCCAAAGGCCCATCCAGTCCAACACTCTGTATCACACAGTGGCCAGAAATACCAGTGCCATCAGGAGGTCCACCAGTGGGGCCAGGACACTAGAAGCCATCCCACTGTTGACCCCCCAAAGCACCAAGATGACAGAGCATCACTTGCCCCAGAGTCCCTATCTATACCTTGTGGCTAATAGCCACTGATGGACCTCTGCTCCATATGCTTATCTAATTCCCTTTTGAAGCCGTCCATGCTTGTAGCTGCCACCACTTCCTGTGGCAGTGAATTCCAAGTGTTAATCACTCTTTGGGTGAAGAAGTACTTCCTTTTATCCGTTCTAACCCGACCGCTCAGCAATTTCATGGAGTGCCCACGGGTTCTTGTATTGTGAGAAAGGGAGAAAAGTACCTCTTTCTCTACCTGCTCTTTCCCATGCATAATCTTATAAACCTCAATCATGTCACCCCTCAGTCGTCATTTCTCCAAGCTAAAGAGCCCTAAGCGCCTTAACCTTTCCTCATAGGGAAAGTGTTCCAACCCTTTTATCATTCGAGTTGCCCTTTTCTGCACTTTTACCAAAGCTATAATATCCTTTTTAAGGTGTGGTGACCAGAATTGCACACAGTATTCCAGATGAGGTCGCACCATTGATTTATATAGGGGCATTATGATATTGGCTGATCTGTTTACAATACCCTTCCTAATAATCCCCAGCATAGAATTGGCCTTCTTTATTGCAGAATAAACCCTTAATGTTAATACAAGCAATTTTATGAAAATGACCAAGAATAATTCTGTAAAATATCTGGAAGAACTAAAATGAATAATAAATTTATAGATCAATACATCTATGAAAGCTTAATGATGTATTTTGTAACGCTAAAAGAATTCATGTAAAATAGTTTAATGCTTTAAAATATCATTGTAAGGATGTGTTTTTATTCTGATGTATTTGTAAACTGAAAATAAGTTTCCAAAATGCTTTTAAGATACTTCATATGGCTAAATTAAGTGTTAAGAAGAACAATGGTGGTAACTGAAGCTGAGAACTTAATACTGAGAATGAACCCAGCTTTAAAAGTTCAGTGAAAGGTAACAGAAGACTGGGAGTAATGCTAAAGGAGAAAACAAAACTATAAATCAGAATTAATGAGTTTCACCTGTGTTGTAGGAGTAAGAAACTCTGCCAGCTACCATTTTGTGTGCCAAATATGTGATTGATGACTGACAAGACAAAGAGAACTGAACTGAACATGTCTACATGATGTCAGTGATTATGTAAAGTGAGCAGGAGTAGAAAAGAGTATATAAGTCTGCTCCTTGCATCTGCTAGTTGAACTCTCAGGCTGAATTAAGCTGTAGGGGGGTTCCTTTATTCGAATAAATACTTTTTATTACCCTTTACTGCCTGGAAGATTGTTTTCACTGTGTGGTTTATTGGCTAGCCACATAAGTCAAAGAACCTGAGCGCCTTTAGCGTATTGGCAACATAATGATAACAAATTGGGAGTAGCAACAAATACCCAAGAAGATAGATTTAAAATTCAACAAGACCTGAATACTCTGGAGAAGTGAGCAGTTGCAAACAGGATGCAATTCAACAAAGATAAATGCACAGTATTACATCTGGGCCACAAAAATGTCAAGCACAAATACTGGATGGGGGATACGTTTCGGGAGAGTAATGTATGTGAAAGAGATCTTGGGGTAAGAGTGGACTGTAAACTGAATATGAGCAGTCAGTGTGATGCGGTGGCAAGAAAGGCAAATTCAGTCTTAGGCTGTATTAAAATGACCATAGCCTCAAAATCGCAGGAGGTCATAGCCCCTCTGTATACTGCCTTGGTCAGGCTGCACCTTGAGTACTGTGTGCAGTTCTGGAGGCCTCACTTCCAAAAGGATGTGGACAAAATTGAGAGGGTGCAAAAGAGAGAGATGAGGATGATCATGGGTCTGGAGACTGAGCCCTATGAGGAAAGGCTAAGGGCCTTGGGAATGTTTACTTTGGAGAAGAGGAGATTGAGGGGGGACATGATTGCTCTCTTTAAATATTTGAAAGACTGTCATTTGGGGTCTGGTCACACGGACCTCTTATCGCGGTTGTTTTCCCGCATTAATTATATCCGGTTCATTATATGTCGTATTACTTTAAATCCGGTTCACTCTATGCCGCTTTGCGGTGGTTACACGGGCGATCTGTATTCCGCTCTACTTGCGCGTAGAATTGTTCAGACAGCCATGTCGCCCCCGCGACGTCGCGGTTTTGTTTTTTTAAAAAAAACCTTTGCGCATGCGCTTGTATATCCATGCGCATTATCGAATTACGGCTTGATCTCCCTCCGCGATGCCACAATGAGCTTCCGTTTCCCTAACTTTAACCCTGAGCTTCCGTTTTCCTCCGAGATACATGTCATCCACAAACATTGTGTGCCATGGACTGTGTAAAGACGATGGACCCCAAGCTGTGGACATTCATACTGTTCAGCTTGCGGACAATGATGATGACCTTGATTGATGAGGAAGAAGAAAACGCAGTGTCCAGATCGAGGATGGTTAGGCTTCTTTACCGCCGCTTTCGAAAAAGAGTGCAGGTGCGCCAGGTACCGCAGTCACGCGCGAGGTTCCTCCTACAACGACTGGCTGAGACCTCAGGCTACCGTCGCTGGTGGGTCTACCCCCGTTCCACAGATTGGTGGGACTCCTTCGTACTGAGAGTCTGGGGTGAAGAAAAGTGGCTTGAGAATTTCAGGATGACTCGCGCCACCTTCCACTGGTTGGTGGATTGTCTTTGTGGAAGGATAGAGCGCCAAGGTACCAACATGAGGATGCCCATACCCATGGAGGAGAGGGTGGCCATCACCATTTGGTGGCTCGCCAATACCAACTGTTACAGGCAGGTTGGTGAGCACTTTGGACTGGCACGTTCCACAATCGCTGGCATAGTTGTGGAGGTTTGTCTGGCCATTGAACTGGAGCTCTTGGAATCAGTCATACGACCAGGACCATATGGAAGGGTATGTATCAAAATTTTTGCACAGCACAGCATGACTGTCCAGTGGAGACACATGGCACCTGTGTCATTCCACATTTGTCTACCAGTTGCTGAAATAAACAGGCCGCATTACACAAGTAGATCCTCAACACACAGGCATCGCCTGGGCACCCACAGTCTTTGTTCAGGTGCCATTTGGTCACAACTTCAAATGTTTGAATGGTTGAGGGGGGAAAAGCTAAATGTGGTTGAAAACTGAGGAGATGAGCGGGTGGATGGCAGTTCTTGAATGTGTGGGCTGGGTTTGGTCAGTGCAGATAAACTCCGTGTCACTTAACGATTTATGTTATGTGTTCCTGTTTCTCCCCATTGTAGGCAATGGATGGCTTTGCAAAACTGGGCTTTCCCCACTGCATTGGAGCTATCGATGGTTGCCATATTCAGATTCGCGCCCCAGTTCACCAATCCGGGGAATACATCAACAGAAAAGGGTTTTTCTCCATGCTTCTTCAGGGCACCATGGACCATAGTGGACGGTTTATCAACGTCAGGGTGGGGCATAGTGGCAAAAACCACGATGCTTACGTGTTCAGGTCTTCTAACTTGTTCATGGCCATGGACCGGGTTTTTTTTGTTCCTGGTAACCCCACGGTTACGATTGACGGAATTCAGGTCCCTCCACTGATACTTGGAGATGCGGCCTACCCGATTAGGAAGTGGCTCATTACTCCGTATACTGGAGCTCTGAATCGTCAGCAGGCGGCCTTCAACAAGGCATATTGTCGAGCACGCAACGCCGTCGAGCGCGCTTTCGGCCGGCTAAAGGCAAGGTGGCATTGCCTTTCACTGAAGTTGCCAATCCAGGAGGAGAATGTTGTCCCCATCATTTGTGCTTGCACCATTCTGCACAACATCTGTGAGGACCGTGGCCATGAGTTAACAACACCACTGGTTGACACTGCTAACGAGGCCGCAAATGAGGCTACTCCTGTTGTGCACGAGACTCCACGTGTTGCGGATGCGAGGCACAAGAGGGAGGGACAGGCTGTTAGATGGGCAATAACACAGTGGATGCTAAGGCAACGACCTCCGCGCTGATTAGTTCCCAGATGGGCCACAACCCTTTGCATGAAATAGGTGGTTATTTTCGTAGTGATCTCCTTCCTCTTGTTATTAGAGGATGTTACATCAAAGCGTGTTACACTCTGTTCAAAGATTTGCTTAGCTTTAATTTGTCTGGGTAGCTTTGCTGGTGTTGACTAACCGACAATGAATAAAAATCCTTAATAAAAAATAGAAAGTTGAACTGGTCTACTTCTTACGTTATCCCAATTTTTAAGTCACAGTAGTGAGTGGTGTGTGAGTTTTGTATGTTCCATTACACAGGGTGAGCTTACTGGTGACTGTTCACCGTGCCTGCGCAGTTGCAGAGCTTCCGCCTTGCATGCCAGAGGTACAAGGTGTAATCTCTTGCGGCTTCCACATATCAAGATGCAGGTGGTAGGTCATGTTACAGACCACCACCACAGACCCTGGAGAGCAGCTGCCAAATGATAGGCCAAAACACATTAGCGAACTCTCTCATTAGTGAAGGTGGACACAGGTGTGTTGCTGTAAATGTGGCAGCATATGTGCTAGTGACTTCTCGCACTCACATTGATCATCTGGGTTTTTCTCTTTTGATTCACCACCACCCAAGTAGCAACAGCACAGCCCCTGGGTGAACTTGTGGTTGTGCAATGGTGGGAGTTGGACCACTTTAAACCTATGGAGGCGGGAGGGTTTTGCGTGTAAGCAAGAGGCTGGGCATCAAAGTCATGAATGGTCCATCATTGCCAAATCTCCCCATCCATTGCATACGCATGCCTTTGCAACCAGTCATGCGTTTGAGCGAATGTAAACGGATGGGAAGCGTGGAGAGGGTGAGCAGCCTGTTCAGTAAGGTTGCCAGTGGCTCGAAACTAGGAAGGATGGAGAGGTTGAGCAGGCTGTTCACTAAGGTTGCCGGTGGGTCTGAACTAAACGCGATAATTAGCAGGGGGGTGGTGATCATCGCGACCAAACAATTTTTTTTAACACAGCTCTATTTTTCTACTGATCAAGAATACCGTGCCTATTTTCCCCAGGCTTACAATCTGACACACGGTATATTCTCTTTAGCAAGATGAGCGAGCAGCATTTGTAATTGCTATCGCCACTTTTGCGCGCCCCCATTTTTAGGCATCAGGTGGCATGGTCCCTCAGGAACACATTCCTCCTATTGTAAGTGCTTGGTATTGCGAGCGCACATGCATTTGTTATGATAACTTGCACAAAGTTCCCCCAGCATGGCTTCCAGCCTCAGTGTCTACTGGCAGGAGAATGAGGCGGAACGGCTCCACGAAATCTTAATAGAGCTACAGGCGGGTGGGAGTGTAATGCCCAGTACTCATTTGGAGACAATCCCAGTACTCATTTGGAGTCGCGGTGCTGCGGGACTCCTCCTCACCCTCACCACCGCCCGCTCCAGAGGATCTGGGAGAGGGACCATCCCAAGGTAGGCAGTACAGAGCTGCATACAACTGTGCCATGTCTCGTGCTGATGCTGCAGTCAATGGATACTTAGGATAACGATGTGGTCTGCATTGCAGCGAGAGAAGAACAGGCCGCACCAGAGGAGCCGGGGGAGCCTAGTGCAGCAAGAGAAGAACAGGCCGCAGCACAGGACACAGGGGAACACAGTGCAGTGGATGAGTGTGAGTGAAGTTGGCACCGTTTTCCGAATTACTTCAGCAGGTTTTTTTCTTCATACTTTGATTCAAGGGGCCAAGTTACCGCATGAGGGACGTATTGTCTCTGGTAATGGGTGCTGGGCTAGGACTGCACGGACATTGTTGGTGTGTCACTGATTCAACATCAACAATGCGAAAGCAACAGAAAGAGTATCCAGCATCAATGGACAACCTGTCAGCTGTGTAAACGTTACCGGTGTTTGATTCCTTTTGGAGCAAGTCAGTTATGCTACTGTTTATTTTCTTGGTGGGAAACCACAAGGCCAAGTGCTTTCAGAGCAGGCCTACGCCACATGATGAGAACCATGGATGTAGTTTGTTAAAACACCCAACACTCATAACTAATGCGATATAGAAATGGTTTATAACAGCATGCATTGGACTTTTAAACTTAGGTAAACCTGCACCATTCACAGTTTGCGCCCCCCCCCCCCCCCACTTGATAAACATTTCAAAATCCGGCAGCGTAACAGACATCCTTGGATATGGTAACCCCTGACTGTCATACATTATTTGATAACAGATTTTCAGTGGTGTAACGGCTGTCATTCTGTCACCCAGGTCCAGCGGCACCTGCAGCACTCTTGGGGCAGTTGGCCGAGGCACCACCCTGCCCTGGCGGAGAGGTGTTGGCTGAGGCACCGCCCTGCTCTGGATGTCGTGGCCTGCAGAGCCAAGTTACCCAACTGGCGGAAACCATGGATAGGCGATGTAAGTAGAGAATGGTTGCGTGTCTCGGCCAGTATGTGTTAATTTTGCATCTCTGCTCAAGCACATTTAGCCCACACTGGGCTTGTCAAGCACGCTATACAGGTTAGATGCATTGGTGCAACAAATGTTAACATGTTAACATCCCTCTTTTCAATCCCCCCTTACAGTTAACCACGTGATACGGCTCATCACCATGCTGCGCCAGGGTCTGCGTAGGCTGCGTTCGACCATGGCTGCCGCGCAGAATCCGAATGCACAGGCTGCGGAGGGTGGACACTCTGCGGCCCCAGACACAGAGTCAGAGGAAGACCAAGCGGCTGCCTCATAGTTATGTTTTATCATCTCCACCTGTAAATTTATACCTGCACAGTTTCCAGTTTCTAATTTCGCAGTTCCAGTTCTAGTTTATATTGTTGAAAGCACTTTATTTAAAAAATAAAATCCCCTTGTTTATACAATACAAAGCCTGTGTTCATAACGTAGCGCTGCTCTGACAAGGCATTGTTGACAGGAAGCGCGGATTGACGTGGCTGCTCCTGGGTGATTGTTTACTCTAGGACACAGAAAACATGTTAGGTATAAAAGTTTAAAATTAGTAGCAAGGTTTGTATTGGCAAAACTGACAATGTGTCATGAAATGCAATACAGTTTACAAAAGAAGATAAACAGCATTACACTAGGTTTCATGCATCAGTTAACCCTTCCTTGCATGAACTCACTGAGATGCCTTAATCTTAAGGGATAGATCAACCTTCAAGGACTAAAGGGAATTTTTTTTGGGGGGGCGAGAACGGATGCCATGCTTCCTTCCCCCAGGCTTTTGGGCTGGTGAACCAGGGATGTCTCCATTGTTGTGCTCCCGGGGCGGACCTCCTCCACTGTTCCTTGACCAGGTTGACTAAAAGAAATGTTCCCACTGGGCTCAACAGCACCCGCAATGGGGGGCTGGATAATGGCCTTGGCTATGTCATTTAATACTTGCAATGTTGATCTTAGAATTTCAACCCTTGTTTCCCGTGCCTCTTTCTCCTCCAGCCGGTACGCCCAAAACTCATCCATGAACTCCCTATGTTCCTGTCTGGAGGACTCCTGGTCACGGGCTGCGGCCTTCAGAAACTGGTCCCCAACCCTCTGCACCGCAGTCACACGTTTTTTCCTAGATCTAATGAGCCGTAGGCGTTCTGCTGGTGTCATATCTGCCATGATGGCCCCAGGGTCAACATCTGCGGGAAAAATGAAAGCAGCAGAAGTAAAGAGCCACCCCATGTATACAAACCACAAATTTTAAGTAATGGTAAAACCTAAGTGCCGCGGCAGACATTCTGGAGAAATCATGATTGGTGGTTTTTCTCCTAATCCCCCCCCACCCAACACTAGGGTTGTAGAATGACATATGAACGTCCTTTGAAAGTGCTCCCACCATTGGTGTCTCCGTCTCCATCTCCGTTGTTTGATGCATCGTCATCATCATCCAGCATGGATGTGCTGGGACCTGCTTGAGATAAGAATTCCGAGCTTAATTGAGTGCACCTCATGATGCTGCCAAGTGACTGACGTGACAACGTCACTCAGGCACATTTAAGCCCCTACTTTGGAAGAACTCACCATGGTCCATGGGAGAGCCAATGTTGGTTGCGTCTGTATCCTGTATTTGGGACTCCTCCTCCACAGACTCTAGTAGAAAAAAGGGAGGAAGGGAAACGTCACACAGCTTGTATTCACCACCCCCATAAGCAGACAGTGGATTTCACAGTCCTGTGTTGACAGAATCTCCAGTCCTACCAATCTGTTGTGCATTACAAGTGGGCCAGCTCCAGGGGCGTGCGGGATTCACAGAGGCCGGTATCAAGACCTCTGTCAGCAATGGTCACTGTTGGAACCTATGCACAAATCAGAAACCCTGCTGAGTACTGCAATATCACCCACCCCCAAGGGCACTCCACCAGAAAGGCTCTAAGAAAAATTCAGACACACCACAAAACCAATGCCATTCAAGGATGCTTGAACAAAACAGGGGAAAGGCACCTTACCTGAAGCTGCAAACTCGTCATGCTGTGTGTTCTCTCCCTCAATGGGCTCCAGAACCATGGTGAAGAGTTCCTCGGAGCCCTCGGCTGGCGTGGAAGTAACTGGCATTTCCATGTCCATGCGGGGAGGGGGGGGTTGTCCGGCAGAGCGAAGCTGTCAGCAACACGCTGGGGCTTCACACTGGGGTCGCCGTTCAAGATATTGTGCAGTTCGTTATAGTAAAGACAAGTGATCCTGTGGTTGCCGGAGGTGTTGTTGTGGAGGAGAACTCGCCTGTAGTCAGCACGGAGTGCCTTGGTCTTGTTTCGGCACTCAGTGACTGAACGACAATGACCCCTCGCCGCCATCCCCCGCGCAATTTCTTTATAGGTATCCATCGTGCGGTGTGATTGCCTGATTGATTCCTGGACCCTCCGCTCTCCCCACAATGCCAGCAGATCCAATATTTCCTCTCTCTTCCAAGAGACACCTCTGACTCCCGCCATATTTTGGTTACTTCTCGGGAATGCTTTGGAACAGGAAGTGAGAAGGCTAGCCGTAATGACTCCAGTAGCCGGAACTACACAACAGCTGGCGGAGAGTGGGACT